CACCATTGCAGCCGCTCTGCCTCGGGGGCGCGGGCTCCGTCTTCCACGCCTCGCGGCCCCGGCTCAAGGGCGGCCGGCAGGTCAAAGGTCGAAGAGAGCTATGGAGAGCGCGTGCGCGACGCCACGCTGGGCATGCGCGTAGCCTGGATCCAGAGGGGCGGAGTGTCAGTGGTTACGCAGGAGACCTGGGCGAAGTTGGGGGCGGGTCCTGCGTCGCGCTCGGCTCCGGAGGTGATCCGGCCCGGGTGATGGGCGGTCCCAGGACCCTCTGGGACCTCGAGCTTATCCCGGGGCGCTAGGGGTCACCCAATACATGGGTCAGAAGTGGGCCAATTTTTTCCCTTGATTTTGCCAAAATATGTGGTACTAAAAGATAAGCAGTAAATACCCATCACCCGAACATAAGGAGTTTGATCCAAGTTCTCACAAATATTTAAGAAAAGAGAAAACTTCAAAATAGGGCTCATTCCCTCCTTCAATTCTTTGCTCAAATGTCACCTTCTCAATGAGGCCGTTTTTTAATAACTGATTTATCGAGATATAATTCACATATACAATTCATCTTATTTAAATATATTTTTTTATTGATTTCAGAGAGGAAGAGAGAGAGATAGAAACAACAATGATGAGAGAGAATCACTGATGGGCAGGACCCCCACTGGGGACCCAGCCCAGAACCCGGGCATGTGCCCTTGACCGGAATCGAACCCGGGACCCTTCAGTCCACAGGCCGACACTGTATCCACTGAGCCAAACCAGCCAGGGCCAATTCATCTTTTTAAAAATATATCTTTTTATTGATTTTAGAGAGGAAGGAAAAGATAGAAACATCAAGAATCATTGATTGGCTGCTTCCTGCACACCCCCTACTGGGGATAGAGCCTGCAACCCAGGCATTTGCCCTTGACCAGAATCGAACCTGGGACCCTTCAGTCTGCAGGCTGGCACTCTATCTACTTAGCCAAACCGGCTAGGGCTACAATTCATCTTTTTTAAATGTACAATTCAATGCTTTTTATTTTTTCTTAATCCTCACCAGAGGATATTTTCCCATTGATTTTTAGAGAGAATGGAAGAGAGAGGGAAAGACAGAGAGAAACATCGATGTGAGAGAAACACATTGGCTGCCTCTTGCACTCGCACCAATCAGGGCCCAGAAGGAGCCTGCAACCAAGGCACATGCTCTTGACCGGAATCGAACCCGGGACCCTTCTCTCCGCATGCCAAGGCTCTATCAGCTGAGCCAAACTGGCTAGGGCCAATGCTTTTTAGTATATTCACATTTACAAGCTCCAGAACATTTTCATCATCCACCCTCCCCGCCCACCCCCCCCCCAAAAAAAAAACCTCACCATTAGCAGTCACTGCCCATTTCCCTCTACCCTTGGTGACCACGAATCTATTCTGTCTTGGTGGACTTGTGTTTTGGAAGTTTCATGTAAATGGTATCATATTATATGTGGCCTGTTGTGTCTGGCTAAAACCTCCATTCTTTTTTGAAAAAATATTTTTATTGATTTCAGAGAGGAAGGGAGTGGGAGAGACAGAAACATCAATGATGAGAAAATCACTGATTCGCTGCCTCCTGCACATCCCCCACTGGGGGATTGAGCCCGAAACCTGGGCACATGCCCTGATGACAGGGAATGATAATTTTAATAAGTGAAAAGGCCAGGAAGCTCCCTTATATTTTTCAAAACCAACTGTAATTTCCACACAGGAAACCCAGGTACAATTGACAGTGGGGAACAAATTGATTGATTTCTTAGTCTGATATACTTTCATTTGTAATTCTGAGTGTTATCTTCAAATGTTGTTATAAAATAAACTGCATTATAATCAGATCTATAACCATGGTATTTTAAGTATTTTTTGTCGTTTAGAGACAGTCATTGTATTACTCTGATGCATTTGCAAAAATGTTACATCTTCTAACTTATTTCAATGTATGAATTTTGGACAGTAAAGTTTCAGATCATATTGTTAAAATAGCTAAAATTTATAGAACTCTTAAGGAATAACTGGATTCATAGAAATACTGGAAAATAATCAATATAAACAAAAATTATGGGACTGAATAAACTGAAGCTAATTATTATTCTTATTAAGACTGTTGGCAATATTGCTGATTTTTAAAAACTTATTCGTTTTCTTAGAGCAAATTGGTAAATTGTACCTTGATAAGCAATATTAAAGCATTTATATTTTTCTCCCTATTTATCCTTCCAGAATTTAAAAACTCTTAATGAGTATTATTATTTTCATGGCAATATGTTTATTTGTATGAACCCAATAGAAATCTGATTTTTTTTATAACAGGACACATAAAGCCAATTCCCAATTATTGTTTTATTAACCAAGACTTTGACTGGAATGTCGAGTTTGAGAAAGACAAGCCTAGACGCTGGATATCAGCAAAAAGGCTTTAAGGAATGAAGATTGAGTCTGAAGCCTATAAAAGCCCCTTGGAAAAATGGCCTGGTACCTTGCTTATACATATGGTTCATGGCAGTCTTTCCAGGTAAGGAACAGATTGCTTTCCTGGCAGATGGCAAGAAAAGAACCTCGAGACATTTTGGGGACCTCAAGAACTTGAGGAATTTACCCAAACCTATAGGTGTTGCAGGAAAAGCCTTATGGCAACTGTGTGACTTGGTTTCTTTGTCCTGAGGAAACTTTCTTGTGAGATTCCAGCAAAGCAGATTTAAAAAGCCTATATGATCAATTGCTATTCCTATTGTGTTTATGCAAACCATCAGGCCAAATTGAAACTGGACTTAATATAGTAAATGAGTTTGTCTTAATTTGGCTCTTTGATAAAAATGAGGGTGATTTTTAGGAGAAAATATATATTTCAACACAGTTATGAATATTAGACTCTAGTTCAGTTAATTGTAAAATTTTCTTTTTCACTTATGAACTAGACTGGATCCTGAATTCTTCTAGTTTTCTGAAATATTTTGTCTACAACTCCCTAACTTCCATGGAAATGGAAAAAAAATTGACAGTGGGGAACTGTAACAATGGAAAATTGTAACCCACCCCAAAAATCCTAGGAACTAACTTCAGAAGATACAGACTCTGACCTTCAGTCATCCTAGGTCTGGGATTTTTTTTTTAATTTAATTTTCACTTTTTAAAAAATTCTTTTTAAAAATATATATTTATTGATTTTCAGAGAGGAAGGGAGAGGGAGAGAAAGATAGAAATATCAATGTTGAGAGAGAATCATTGACTGGCTACCTCCTGCACACCCCCGACTGGGGATCCAGCCCGCAACCTGGGCATGTGCCCTTGACCGGAATCGAAACTGGGACTCTTCAGTTTGCAGGCTGACACTCTACCCACTGAGCCAAACCTGCTAGGGCCAAGTCTGGGAGTTCTGCTGATCTTCAAACACAGAACCAGAAGGACAAAGAACCAGGATGATGAAGACCAGGATGACACACACACACTAGACCATCACTTGACCAGTTTTGAGGTCCTTATTGGAATGGACTGGACTGCAAGGAGAGAACTTTTCAACTCCCTTCCCTTGATTTCTTTGTTATGCTTTGCCTCTCCCTCCTTATAAAAGCCTCTGCCTGGCCCTGGCCAGTGTGGCTCAGTTGGTTGAGCATCATCCCATGCACCAAGAGGTTACCAGTGCACCTGGGTTGTGGGCTTGATCCCCAGTAGGGGGGGTGTGCAGGAGGCAGTCAATCAATATTTCTCTTTCTCTCTCCCTATTCCTTCTTCTTTCTCTAAAATCAATTAAAACATATTTAAAAACAAACAAACACCAAAACAAAAAACAACAACCCTGCCTACACTGAGATGTTGAGATGGGCTTTGTGACAACAGTCCTCCATCTCCTCAGGTGACCAGCACTTGAATGATACCTCTTTCCCTTTTCACCAGCACCTGTCTAATGAGTTTGGTTTTTGTGGTGGCAAGCAGCCAAACTTGGGTTTGGTTACATTATCACCTTTTACCATATTATATTATTCACTTATTTTTATTTTTATTTATAATCTTTCCTCCCACTAGAATGTGGATTCCTGGTGGATAACTTTTATCCCTTTACTCCACTCTGGAAGTTCAGCACCTGGAAGGCACTAAGTGTGTGTTGAATGAATGAAAGACAGACTGCTTTGTGCTATGTTATGGACCACTGCCCTTCTTTCCTTTCATCCAACTCTCCAAATTCTTTCTTCCCTCAGCACCCAGGCCATCCTTCCCTTTGTCTGAAACATTTTCATGGCTCTCTCTGTGGCTTCTCAGCTTTTGGGTCTTAGTTCTCTTCTTAAATGTCACCTTCCCAGACCCTAAAAACTCTTTCGCCTGCATCCCAGTCACTCTCTTCAACATCATTTATCTTCTTTATGGCTATTTGCTTTCTTGCACACAATCTGGCTCCCCTACATAATAAGACTATACTAAGTACATTGAGAAGCTCATGTCACCCCCATCTGTTTTACAGTATCTACCATCCAGAGCATTGTTGGATACCTCTGTGTTGGATGAATGAATGCACTTTCGAGCATGCTGGAAACAGCCTCAGGAGCAAAATGGAGCCTGGGACCAGAGGGAACCCTCACCTATACTCCTGTCCCCTTCCCTTCCCAGCCATCCCAGAGACCACAGCAGCACAAGAGGTGGCAAGCTTAGAAAAAGTTTAATTGCTGAAAATATCCCAGGCATGTGCAGGCCAGCCCCTGTGGGGCTCACACTCCCTTAACAGGCCGTCAGCCTGTGATGCCTGCTTCTCCTGGCTTCAAGCCTGGGGAGCAGGGTGACTGTCCCAGACCCCTGAGGCTGGTGCTGCTCCAAACGATCTGGCAGGGGGCCAGCCCCCAAAGGCCATTGACCAGAATTGGGTCAGCAGGCAAGATGAGGTGGCATGTAATAACTGAAGGTGCTCTACGAAAGCAGCCCATGTCCGAGTAGGGAAACCGGGATTCCAGGGCTTGCTCAGGGACATGCTACTGACCCACACACTCATTCCACCCCCATGACTCTGGCTCCACATGCTAGCAGGCAGCTGAGAAGTTGGCAGTACCAGAGAAAGCAGAGGTGCAGACAATCCATGGGTGTTTTAGCAAGGCCTGGAGGGCATGGAAGTGCTCAAGGCCCAAAGAAAGCCAGGGTTTCTGGGATGAGTTATGCCAGAGCCAAAAGGTACCTCCAGTTTGAGGGTAAGATATGAGGTGTGCAGGGGCACTAGGTGGTTCTAGGAGGTGGCAACGGCAGGTGAGGCCAGTGGTGGCTTGGTTGGCAGACTAGTCCTGGGGAGATAAAGGAAAGAGTGGGTGGGAGTTGAGAAGGTGTGGAGAAGGGAGGTGGCACATGCTGCAGGGGTGAGTAGGGAGGGATGGGATGCCAGGCCTACTAATTCACTCACCCACTCGTCCTCGTCCACACCTTCGAAGGAGTCCTGGGGGAGCGGGTCCTCGCGATTCCCTAGCTTTGCCACCATGGCACTCAGTAGCTAGGAGAGTGGAAAGGAGAAGAGGTGGGAAGGGAATAGGACCTCTGACCCCAAGAATGTCGGACCCCACTTTGAACCCCATCAAGATTGTGAAAGAGGCATTTTGTTCTACTTTGCCCAATGTGGGTCAGGCTAAAGAACTGAAGGGCAACTAAGGGGATCCCATCCCCTCCCCACGGCCAGCCCTCTCCTGTGCCTACCTCTTCCTTCTTTTGCTGGTCTGATTTTTCTTCCAGGTAGAGTGCTGAGGATGGGGCCCGCCGGACAGGAGCTTCACGGGGAGCCTGGCTCACTGGGGCAGGGCAAGGACAAGCATCAGGCATAAGAGTCCCTTCGGTGGGGGATCTTTGCCCAACCTTTGGAACCAACCACCTAGGGGATTCTGTGGCAGAGACCCCCAGAGGTGGCATTAACAACTACTCAACCCTCTGTTCATAAGGCCTGCCCTGAACACCAGGCTGTGTGCAAGCATGAGTATGTGAGTATGTGAGTATGTGAGTATGTGAGTATGTGAGTGTGCATGTGTTGGGGGTGGGGACTTGTGATGGCAACATAGACTCTGGACCCTGCCCTCCAGTGGTTTAGAGACTGAGCCTGGAGACACAGCCATCCCATCCTTAGGAGCACCAGAGGTTTCTGCATGCCAGCAGGGACAGAGGATCTGTCTTCTGTCCCTTTCTCTAACCCCCACCCACTCCCTGCTTCCTACCCACCCCAGTCCCTCTTCTGACCTGGGGTCATGCCAGGGGGCTGCAGGCTGAGAAGCCGGGGCTGTCCGTTAGCACCTCCCAGCCAGTCTTTGGCACTGAGCACGGGCTCCCAGCTCATGGCTGTGTCTGGGAACACATCATCCTGGAAGAATTCTTTCTGCAGGGAGGGAGGAAGAGGCTGCCCAGAGGCACTGACCAGAGGCCCAGTGCACACTGCCACGCATGGGGAGGGGCTCCAGTTTGGAGTTTCTATGAGTTTCAGAATCTCAGCAGGGTAAGGGAACAGGTGCCCCAAAAAGTAGTGAGGGGGCAGTTTTGGGAAGGGCCACTCAAGCCCCAAAGCCCCAGAAAGGGGCTGGGTGTTGGCATACTGGGCCCCCATCCTCACCCTGACTCTGGGCAACCGGAAGGCAACAGGCTCCAGGGAGGTCTGGCGAAGCCGCAGGCATCGGGCAAACTCTACTTCGCGCACATCACACACTGTCTTGGGCAGGAGTGCAAAGCCCTGAGGGGGTAGGGGAGTCAAGCTGGGTCTGGGGCCCAGAGCTCACAGCTGGGCACCGACCCCCCAGGGTGCCAGTACTCCTCACTTAGGAGCACCAGGACCAAGGCCCATTTCTGGACAGATCAGTCAGGGCTGTTACATGTTTGACAACTGGCTCTCTGGAGGAAAATGCCCTGATTCATTGCCTATTTCCATGGTTTGAAAACTACTGCCATGGCTGATTTCATTGACTTGTCGCATACAGATGTGGGAAGGAATGTACAGTAGCATACCATCATATAGTACTTTCCATTGGACAGCTCTGACAGATGTAAATAACCTCAATGGCACAAAAGATAATAAAGTCAGGTAAAATAATTAGGAAATGATAAATTGAGTATTTATTGCCTTAATTTTTTTGTTGTTGTTGTTAATCTTCACCCAAGGATATTTTCCCATTGATTTTTAGGGAAGAGAAAGCGAAAGACAGAGAGAAACATCGATGTGAGAGAAACACATCGACTGGTTGCCTTCTGCATGAGTCCTGACCAGGGCCTGGGCCAGGGAGGAGCCTGCAACCAAGGTATGTGCCCTTGACTGGAATCGAACCTGGGACCCTTTGGTCCACAGGCTGACGCTCTATCCACTGAACCAAAATGGCTAGGGCTTTATTGCCTTCATTTTAAAATATATATATATCTCATTGACCTCAGAGAAGAAAGGAGAGGGAGAGAGATAGAAAAATCAATGATGAGAGAATCATCAATTGACTGCCTCCTGCACATTCCCCACTGGGGATCAAGCCCACAATCAATGGGGCATGTGCCCTGACCAGGAATCGAGAACCATGACCTCCAGGTTCATAGGTTGATGCTCAACCACTGAGCCCCAGGTGAGATAGAGAGAGGGGGGAGGGAGGAAGGGAGAAAGAGAGAGAGAGAGAAAGAGAGAAAGAGAGAGAAACATCTACTTGTTGCCTTCCATATGTGCCCCAACTGGGGATCGAACCCCCAACCTTTCGGTATACAGGACGATGCTCCAACCAACTGAGCCACACCGGCCAGAGCTTGCTTTTATTTATTTATATTTTTAATTTGAATTCTTTTTAAAAAAATATATTTTATTGATTTTTTACAGAGAGGAAGGGAGAAGGGATAGAGAGCTAGAAACATCAATCAGCTGCCTCCTGCACACTCCCTACTGGGGATGTGCCCGCAACCAAGGTATATGCCCTTGACCGGAATCGAACCTGGGACCCCTCAGTCCACAGGCTGATGCTCTATCCACTGAGCCAAACCAGTTAGGGCTAATTTGAATTCTTTATTGTTTAAAGTATTACATGAGTCTCCCTTTCCCCCACATTGACCTCTCCTCAGCTGCTCCCACCCCCCAGCACATGCCCTCACTCCCCTGCTGTCTGTGTCCATTGGTTATGCTCATATGCATGCACACAAGTCCTTTGCTTAATCTCTTACCCCCTCACCCCCCGACTTCCCTCATAGGTTGGACAGTATGTTCGATGGCTTGCCTTTATTTTAGTGTAACTTATTTGCAGGCTCATTAACTTAACCTTATATAGTTTAACTTCCAATAATGGTTGAGTTTAACCACCAGCTCCTGGGAGCTGCTGAGCACACCTGACACGCCCCTGCATTTCCCCAGATGGCCATGAGAGGGCGGGGGAGCCATGTAGTGCCACCTAGGGAAGGAGGACCGGGTAAATGGCATTTCAGGGCTCACCTTGTGGGGGTCAGGCGAAGTGAAGCTGTTACACTCCAGGAAGAAAGGGGCCTCAGGGAGCAGCTCGTACAAAAACACTCGGGTGTCACCCTGGAGGGGGTGATAGAGGGGAGAGTGAGGTGGTCAGCTAAAGCTGTCTTCACCCAATCTCCTCTCATCTGGCCCCTGCCCCACACCTGTGCACCCCTGCTTACCTTGCCCGTGAGTAGCACCAAGCTGGTGTCTGGGTCATAGTTGGGCAACAGGGTGGAAGGAGCCACGTCCAACCCCAGCACTGCCAAGGGGCCACCAGCCAGGGCCTTGGCTGAGTACAGGAGTAGCTGGCGCTCACTTCGGCTACAGCGGGTTAGGGGTGGGGGGTGCAGAAACAGGTTCATATTGCTGGAGGGGCATGAGGCAGGGCAAGGACTCCAACAAGGACCCTGATCTTGTCGAGCTGGGGCCTCAGGGCCAGAGGAGTGGCCCCTACCTATCCTCTTTTTTGATCCAGCCCTTAGAATTAGTGGCCTGGCCTAATGCAATAGTGTCCTAACTTGTCGCCTGCCTCAACCCCTCTTCCCTAACTACTCCCCCCAACCCTCACTGCCCTCCAACGCTCCTCAGCAGTCCGGGCCCTGATACCTGTCCCATGGCCACTGTGGCCCAATAAGTCTAGATTTTTCTCCTCAGGGTCTGTTTCCTGCCCTCTGCTCCAGCCAGGCTGGTCAGCTTCCTGGTCTTTCTACCCACACTTGATATCCTCTGGTTACTAGCCCCTTTGTGACGCAGTTCCCTGCTACACCTCCCTTAGGAGGCTCTCCCTGATCCCTCCTCCTAAGTGACAAATGCCCAATCCTTGGCCCTCCCAGTAGGCTTGTGTCTGTTTAGTGTGTTTCAACTAGTTCCCAGCTTTCATCCCTCTGGGCCCCCAGCTGACTCACTGTTCCCTCCCTTCCCACCTCCCTATCTCCCTCCCATCCATCCATCCATCCATCCAGTAAGTGATGGGTGAAGACAGCTTCTGCATGCCTGACAGATGTATGTGTGTCTGGGGGAGGGAGACACAAGTGGCTCCTGAAGTCTGGAAATAGGTACGATAGCTCCTGAGTCCTCACCTGTCAAAGCCAGACACCAGCAGACAGTGACCATCACACACCCAGACAATGCGGGCTCCACGGGCCCCCTCAGGCCCTGGGCCTTCCTGTTGGAATACAGCACATGAGGGTCAGCCAGGCCCCCAATGGGCCCGAGGACTGCCCCATCCCATCCTCCTTACCTGCAGGGGCTCAGGGCTACTCCGGGGCTCATAGACCCGCAAGCATCCATCCTTGCAGACAGAGGCCAGCTGCTGCCCATTAGGACTCCAGGCCAGGCCAAATATCTGGGGGCAGGTAGGAAGGTGAGAGGTGGTCTCTTGCCCTGTGGCTGGGCGCTTGCCCCCACAGCTATCCTACCTGGTCCCGGTGGCCCTGCAGCTTTAACCGTTCAACTCCAGCCTGAAGGTCCCAGATGCGAATGGTAAGGTCATAGGAAGAGGAGGCCAGCAGGTCGGCCGCCAGGGGGTGGAAGCGCAGAGAGTAGATCTTCTCTGTGTGACCTGGGGACAAGGCATGGGGTGATACTGAGCTCCTTAGGAGCCACTGCTTGTCCCTCCGCCCCCTGCCCTACTAGGGCCCACCTGACCTGTCAGCACAGCCTCCGGCGTAGTAAGCACCTCCACTAGGCCCTCTGGGGGCACCCGCCACAGACGAATCCTGGCGTCCTCCCCAGCTGCAGAAAGCAAAGGCTCACCACTGCTGGGCCCAAGACACCCAGGCTCCCCCTGCTCCTCTTCAAGACCCTGGGACCGTCCCTCAAGCCCAGCACCCAGCCTCTTTACCCACGGCAAGGCGGTGGGGGTCAAAGGGGTCCCAGGCCAGATCGGTCACGGCTGTCCCATTCTGAAGGGTGGGCAGTGCTGTGTCAGGCAGGCGGCCAGGCTTCTGAAGCTGTGGGAGGTGCCCCCACCCCAAGTACCGTTAGTAACAGGTAGGGCTGCAAGGCAAACAGCATGTCTGGGTCCCCACCCCCTGTAGCCGATGCCCCACTGCTGGGTGGCCCAAGCTCTTTGCCTTACCCACCTTGTGCTTTGAGTCTTAAGTGACAACTGTGAGGCCCCAGAAAGTGTGTGTGTGGGGGGGAAGGTTGCGGGGAAGCGTGAGATGGTGGAAAGAGCTCCAGCGTAGGGCTTAGGTGGCCTGGGTTCAAATCCCCAGCTCCACCACTTACACAGCTGTCCCGACAGGTCACTAAACCTCTCTGTGCCTCACCACTCTCATCTGTAAAATGGGGATAAGAGTGGCACCCCACATGGGGCAGCTGGGAGTATTAAAGGGGACGCTGGGTAGATGCCTAGCACATGGCTTGTGCTCAGGAATGTGGACTGGTGTGAATACGGATGCCTTTAGTGTCCCACAGGGACTTAGGGGCAGCTGTAGTAGGGTGGGGCTCTCACCTCGAGTACAGCCACCTGCCCACCACTGCTGAGCAGGGGCACGGCCACACGTAGCTGGTTGGCACAGAAGCCGTCGCTCTCACCGGGTGTGGTGAGGTTGAGCCCCTTGAGGTTGGTGATATGGCTGTCTCGGTGTAGGATGGTACCCTGAGCATGGCGGAACTTGGAACTGGGGCCTGGTGGGCAGTAGGGACACAGAGCCTTGTAAGGATACCCTACCTGACCACCCTGGGCTGCCCTGCAGGAGGACCCCTCACTGCAGAACCATGCAGGGCATGTGCCCAGGCCCAGACCCCTGCTGTTCCAGCCAACACAACTGGCCCAAAATGGAAAGAAACTCAGGGTATCTCAGTGAAAGCGAAGGGCTCCAGGGAAGGTTCAGGCCACCCTCTTCCAGATGAGACTGACTTCATACCACAGGACATGGGACTCCACCAGGAGGGGAGACAGGCTGGGGTACAGAGGAGGATGACTGGGCTGGGGGTGGAAGGGTTAGCTGCCCCCTTACCACCCACTTACCCAGAAGGCTCTGCAGTGACCTCTGGCTGGGGCTGGTGCCAATGCCACTGGTGCTGGAGAGCGAGGGCTCCAAGCTGGATGGCGTGGAGGGTGAGATCAGAGAGCTGGGAGGGGAGGAGAAGCCCTCCTGGGGGCAAAGCACCTGGGATCAGTCACAGGCCCCTTGGCGTGTTGGCCAAAGAGAGGGGATGCTGGGATCATCACTCTGGGCCCCTCCTCCTGGACTGTGGCACACTGAGCTGGGCATGAAGCCTGGCTCTGGGATATGAGGAAGGGGCATAATGGCAGATGCTGACGGGGGGTGGGAATAACATGGGGGTTAAGGGAACTTCAGACCATGGGACAGCAGGTGGCAGCTGCTGGCTCCCAGCATTTGTGGGAAGGCGGGTGCAGGGTGGTTAAGATCTGCCAATATTTCAAGAGAAGCCAGAAGTCTAAATTTATTTGACAGTCTCACTTTCTACTATGTGTCTGTCATGCCTGACAGCTAGAAAAGGTTAAAAAGACCAGGGGCCTCCCACTGGCACTCACACTGGGGTCCTTGTTGCCTGTAGGCAGCTTCGCGGGCTGGACTGCATCAGGGGAGGTCTCTGTAGGGGGCACCAGGTGGGAAGTGAAGCTGGGGTGGGGCTGGCAGGTCGGGTTGAGACTGACCTTCTGTACCTGTGAGGGAGGCAGCAGTTGAGCGGTGGGAAGGGATGGGGGACACAGGACAGCTGAGTTAGTGCACGGCTGGACTGTGGGGGCATGCATGGGGATGCTGTCAGGAGGGCTTCCAGGGGCTGGTGGAGACCAGGAGCAGCCAGCCAGGCCTTGGTCCTACCTGCAGGTTGCTCCCAGCCCACCAGGAGTGTGGTTCAGAGGCAGGCACGCAGCCTGCAGTGTCGGGGAACAGGTCCTCGTAGAACTCCACAGCCTGGTGGCAGACAGGTATGTGGTCAGTGAGGCACCAGGCCCCCAGGCCCTCCCAGCCCCTCACCCAGGCCCCCCTCACCTTGCGGGGCACGTGGAAGCTGATGGGCACGATGGCTGTGTCAGTCAGCTGAAGGACTCGGAGTACCTCACAGCCCATGACAGCCAGTGCCCTCCGCGGCACAAGGGCAGCCCCCCGAAGCACATTCTCCAGGAGGCACTGGGTCACTATTGGGGAAACCACAGGAAAAGAATCAGGGTGGTCAGGGGAGGGGAGGGGGGAGGAGAGAGAAGGGAAGGGAAAGAGGGCAGGGGAAGAAAGAGAGAGGGAGGAGAAAAACACACACCAAGAAAACAAAAAAACAGAGAGGGGAGGGGAGGGTGACGGGCAGTGCTTACCTGGGCTCAGTGCCGGCTGTTGGGGGGCCACCTCGTAGCAGTACAGCTGACTCTCACCCTGAAATGAGCCTAGCCTAAGGACCCTCATTGACCAAACTCTGGTGGCCTGGGGCAGCCCCAGGCCCAGTACCAGCTCTCCCATTCCTCTCTAAGGACCCAAGCTACAGAAGCAGGGCAGACACCATGCGCTGGGCAATGAGCTGAGCCCTCAGTGGACTTCACTTCACCTGTTCTTCATCAGCACTGGGAGTATACGTTCAGTATTTACAGACTGCCTACTCTGTACTACACTGCCCTATTTTCACCCTGTTCTCATGACGCTGACATTCATGGATGGAGACTTGGAGGCCTAGATGCTGGCAGGAGGCTGCTCAGCCTGGCACTAGTGGAGCCTGGGGAACACTGTTCTGGTTCCTCCTTTCTGAGGGCGGTAGCATCCTGTACTCCCCACTCTCCCAGATGTCTGCTTAGGTCTAAGGTCAGCACTAGGCTTGGCATGAGCCCTAGGGGCCAGACGTGGGTGGACATGGGTAGGGGTGCTAGTGGTGGGGTGGCTCCAGCTGCTCCCTTACCTTTCCCGCCAGGACCAGGAGCCCAGAGTCTGGGTCCAAGAGGGGCATCAGAGACCTGTGGGAGAGAGAACTGGTTGATGGGTGGAGCCAGCCACCCGAGGTCCAAGGGCAGTAAGAGGTCTGTGAGCCTTGTGACCCAGATAAGGGCTCATCACAGTGGCTGGGAGGGATGTGGTCCCTCCAGCTGCATCCAGCCAGTCCCCCAGAACCCTCTGTCTCATCTCCCTGTGCTACCAACACACCAAGCATGTCCAACATCCTAAACTTTCTTTTCCAGAGTCCTCCATCTGCTACCTGCTTCACTTAGAACCTGTGCTGGGCCCTGGGCACAGGGAATCCATCCCCTCTTTCTATACCTCAGCCCCAATCTCACCCCAGGCAGACCCCACATTTTGTCCCTGGTCCCACCTTAAGCAGCCTAGACATCATGCCAGCATTACCAGGGCAGGTGAGAAGGTGCTGGAACTGGGGGGTTCCCTCCATCCCCATCCAGTGCAGTTGGGTGGATGTTCCAGGTCTGCACTAAGGTTTGGGGGCCATCTCCTCAGTCACCCCAGGCTCCTGGGGCATTGATGACATCTTAGAGACTCAAATTCCCCCTCTGAGCCAGAGCAGGGCTTCCTTTGCTGCCAAGCTTCCCTGCCTCCCCGTTCTTCATCCCCCCCCGTTCCCAAGGCATGACTGGGGAGGGGCGATGGCTGGGAACATGGAGGGAAGGCTGGAGGCCCCCAGCATCCCTGCTGCTCTGTACCCATCTGATTTTGGCCAAGGGCCTGTGGCTGTCCAGGATTTACGATGCCCCTTTTCCAGGCCCTGAGGAGGCCCTTCGCAGCCCCCAGCCCTGTGAACATCGCCTTCCAGCCCACGGTCTCAGGGGCAGGGGGCCCAGAACTCTGGCAGGTGCCTTCTTCCATTTGTTTCCTGGTCTTGGTTTCATGTCCCTGGGGACCCACAGGATTGGGTCCCCATTTTGACACTTGTCTCCACACAGAACCCTGTCCTCACTGTGGTCCCAGTGGTCAGCAGTCACCCAGCTGTGACAGCTGCCTCTATCCCCACCCAAGCAACAAAGGGCCCAGCCCTCTCCTCCCCTGCCTGTCCACCCCTCCCAGCCAACTTCCCAAAGCTTGCCTGCTGCCCACCTACACCCCACACACATACCCTGCTGGGAGCTACAGAGTGAGCTGAGCAGCTGGGTGGGGCCCTGGTTGTCTCCACAGCTTCCTGGAAGACCCTGGGCTGGTCACCTGTGAGTAATACAGCCTCTAATTACCCTCAAGCCCAGCAGGGAGAGTTGGCTCAGAACTGCCCTTCTTTTCTTTTTTTAAAATATATTTTTATTGATTTCAGAGAGGAAGGGAGAGGGAGAGACAGAAACATCAATGATGAGAGAGAATCATTGATTGGCTGCCTCCTGCATGCCCCCTGCTGGGGATCAAGCCCACAACCCAGGTATGCGCCCCTGACCAGAATCAAACCCGGGACCCCGAAGTCCACAGGCTGACACTCTATCTGCTGAGCCAAATCAGCCAGGGTCAGGACTGCCCTTCTTGACCTGGTCTGACCACTGCCTTCCTTGGGGGAGGGGCAGGCAGGAGGGACAAAGGAATGTGTGGCCTGGGGTGCCCCCCACACTGATGCTGGCTTCAGAGGGGTTGGACACAGGTCCATCCAGCAGCTCTAACAGGGCTTTCACTCAATTCATTCTCAATCATTCATTCCTTAGGCAAGTTGGTTTGTGCCCAGCCCTTGACTCCACCTACAGGCATGACTGGAGGTGGATACTCTGACCTCCAGAAGTTCCCAACCTGGAGAGGCAGACACAGTCCACAAATATGTGAAGGGAAAGTTCTCTGAGGACACACAGCAGAGAGCAAAGGGGATGTTCCCAAGTCCAGGGAAGAGAGTTCCAGGCAGAAAGAGCAGCATGAGCAAAGGGCCTGTGGCAGGTGGGTGCAGGGGCTGTTTGAAGAATGAGGACAATGTAGTTGGTGGCCTGGGCAATTACGGTGAAGGTCTGAGGCTTGGGGAGGCTAGATGCAAGACAAGATGGGATCTAATACATCAGAAGGAGTGTTCTGCCTCCATCAGATAAGCAACGAAAAGCTGATGGCACATCTTAAGTATTAAAACAGGGATAGGAGCCGATGTGCAGAGGTCACCATGTGGAGATGGGTAGGGGGAGTGGAAACAAGAGGTGATGGGTTCAGGGCAGAGTCTGAGGACAAGTGGGCTGGGCACTCCTGCTGCCTTGGTGAGAACTGGTGGGATTGTAGTTTCCACCACAGCATTGATGGCTCACCTGTGCTCTAAACCAACCTCCTTAAGAGGTTTGACCTGGCCTCCCTGCACACACCCCCATCAGTCCCAGCTGGCCAGCTTACTGACTCAGGTGCTCGGGGTGCGGGGGCAGGAAGTCATAGAGGGCAGGGCTGGCTCCTCCAACAGGTCAAGCCAGTCTTCCTCACCTCAGGCAGAGCTATCTGAGCAGCTCGGTAAGGCAGGAGCACCTGCCTGCCAAGGCACTGGCCAGGAAATAGGGTCATGGCACCAGCCCCAAGGGTTGGCCAACAGCTAGCATGGGCCTGAGCCCAGGCCTTACCAAGAAAGCCACGCTAGGTCTGGGTCTGGAATGCAGAATGGAGCCCCTGCCTGGCAGAGGTCCAGAGGTGGTGAGAGCTGGCATAGTCACCTCTCCTGCAGCCATGGCACAGGGGGAGGACTAACATCTGGGCCTGCCACTGAAAAGGGCTCTGACCAGGGTCCGGTCTAGAGCTCAGATCTGCCTCCTAGCTCTGAGCCCAAGTTCCCAGAAGATGCAGGATGATAGTGGTACAGAGTGGGTCACACAGGGGAAGGATCAATCTCTGATAATTCTATCAACTCTCCTAATATTCTGACAATTAACACAGGAAGTAGTGAGGTGTGCCTGCTTCATTAGGCCTTCTCTGGTTCTCCCCATCAGCCCACATCTTGGCAATGCCACTGGTCCAAAGCAGTCCAGGTCCCTTGGATCTGTCTCCGTCACCCAGGCTGGGCTGTGGGGACCTTGGACTAAGCTCGGCCTCACACTCCTCAAAGAAGCTCCAGGTAACCAGGTTCTAAAGGGAGGTGGTATCTTGAAGGCATATGAGGAAAGGATGGACAAACTTGGGAGTGGTCTCCTGGAAGCTGCCTTTGAACCTCTAGGTAGATAAGAGCATGGCCTGTCTGAGTCCAGGGTGCAAGATCATGGCAGGAGATGGACCATTTAGGCAAACAGGGTCTCTCCATCATGGAGAACTGGCTGCAGAGATAAGAGGCTTCAGAGCCTCTTCTTTGGGAAAAGTCAGGCTGGAGGTCCTCAGAACACCCACTCCCTCCTACAGTATCTGTGGACACTCCTGAGGGGGTTAGGGGACACAGGACACAAAGGCAGAGACATAAAGACAGTCTGACCAGAGCCACATGGTGCTTCAGGAAACTGAGTGAGTGAAGCAGCCTCATGTGAGACAACTGGGAGTGGTGGGGACTGCGGTGACCTGTGAGCCTGAGGTTTGGTCAGAGGGGGCAGTTGTCACTGGCTCCAGCTGAGAGTTCTTCCTGTTCAGGCAGGCTGGGAAGTCCCACTTTAATGTGAAACCACCGAATTCTTAATGTTTGCAATAGCATCAAAGTTTTAAAAAGCCCCATACAGGCCAAATGAAACACACCCAAGGGCCAGCTCTGGCGCAGGAACAGTGGTGCAAAAGTTATGCTACACATACACAAATATCAAGATAATCAAGGAGGGCAGGTGTGGCGTCCAGACCCCTGCCTATCCTGGAAAGGGGCCCTGTGGGGGAGAAGCCCTGAGGAAGCTAGGAGCTGAGAGGGGAAGTCTGGGAGGTAAATGTTGCAGCTGGACCCTACTTAGCTAATTAGCAACTGGACATGGAGGCTGTCCTGCCTTCTGGAGGTGATCAAGTCCTGCAAAGACCACCTATGCCGCCCCCCCCCCCTGGTGTGGCCCAGCCTCATGGGACAAGCCCCCGGGCCTGAGACTCACGCTGCCCCAGGCAAAGCCCCTGGCTGCAGGCCAGGCTAGAAGCGGTGGGTGTCCAGGGGCCCTCTGGAACTTAGGAGCTGAGCTGGGTCCCAAAGCTGAGGCATGCCTCTGACCACAAACATGTATGGGAGGAGGGCAGAGCCTTTTCCTGGAATCCTCCAAGGCAGGGGATTTTTCTGGACTAGTCCAGCCCCTGGCACACGTCCCTCTTGCCCCATCAAGGGCCACTGTCAGCTGCACCCAGGCCCCACCCACTGACAAGGAGGCCCAACCTCCCTCCCCATCCCAGGCCCCCCACCCCCACAAACACATTCTGGCTTTGGAGCTGCCTGTAACTGTGGTGCTTTGGACAGAAGGTCACTTCCCCTTCTGTGTCTCAGTCCCTTCATCTAAAACACGGGAAAGGTGATCCAGGGATGCTCACAGCCTGAAAGTCGTCATGTCTAAAAGGACCCCAGAACTCAGATTTGGTGTTAAGAGTTTGTTATCTAGGAGGCTCTCAGAAGAGCCTGCCCAGGAGTTGTTGAAATTGGGATTAACTACCAACAATAGCACATTCAGAGATTTCACCTAAAAAACATAATAAAAATCCAGATTTCCAGTTTCTCTTGAAAAACCCAAAGTTCTGGCAGGTTGAAGCAGGTCGTGGGGGCTGAGTTCCTACACCTGCCCCCACTCCCCTCATCCCCTGCCTTTCCAGGTCTGCACAGGCTCTGGGGTCTGCTCCTCGGATTTATATCACCTGTCTGATAGGTCACAAGCATCCGAGTTTGGGACTGTCTCACTGAAATTCGCTTGCTTTCTATACGGAAAAACAGGGACCTGTCCCGGGTCATAAGGCAAACACGGCTCGCCGGCCTGGAGCTTTGGACTCCTGACTCCGCGCCGGGAAAGACACGATCTCTCCCGCCCCCGAGTTAGGGAGGTTGCGGGGTGAGGACCAGGACGCCCAGCCAAATGACCCGTTCGGTGGATAGGGGAGGCGGGTCTCCCTTGGCCCCTTTCCGCCCTGGCCAATGGGGAGCAA